GGCGAGATCAACAAGCCCTTCGGACTACAGGTCTTCGCCATCCGGGACACTTCTTTGCGAGCAACACGGAACGTCAGCTCAGTGAAGCACTGGGTAATCACTGGCCCGTCTTGGCTCAAGACCGAGAAGCTTGGGCTAAAGCCAGAGCGCACTATGTTCGCACATGGGATGTCAAATGGTGCTCGGGACGGCAGCTTGCTCTCCGAGATTGAGTGCTCTCTGTTCAATGCTGGAAGGGATGAAGTTTCGTGGCGGTTTCTGATTCTTCCGGCCTTGCCTGAGGGTGACTTTGTTCGGGTCGTTTGGGTGCTTCGCTGTCTTTTGTTGAGAACGACTTGTCTGTGACTGAGTTGAACGTCAGATTGAACTTCCCTGTTGCTTCGATGTACATGACCACCTCGTTTGCTGAGAAGAACGCACACATCCAGCCTGCCTGCCTCAATGCTGTGGCTTGTCCTTGGCTGTCGTTGACTGCAATCCTCACATCGGTGCCGCCTTTTCGGTTGTGCAGCAGGCTCGAGCTAGGACGACGTGGAAGTTGCCCGCTCCTTCACTGCCTTTGCTGCTCTTCATGACGGTGCCTCGGGCTGCTGCGCTCATCCTGGCCCTTCTACCTGCTCCCTGGATCCTTGTGCTTGCAGTGTGGGACGAGGATGACCCTCCACATGATCCGGCTGCTCCCTCGTCTTCTACCAGGCCCTCCTCTTCAGGTTGGATGGTTGGGACGTCCTCCTCGCCTTCTACATCGCCCTTGGAAGAATGTGGGACGAGTGCCTGGAATGCCTCTGGTTCATCCCCCTCGATGCCTGCTTCCTCTTCGTCGGCGCTACCTCCGTGGTCAGACCCTCAAATTGCGATGTACATGGCGTCCAGGTGGGATGAAGATGTATGGATGGCTGCTCAAGTTGAAGAATTTGAATGGGAGCCGAATGTGAGTCAGCCCCTGGAGCAGCCTCTGGTTGATCCACCCACGGCCTCTTCGCCCCCGCAAACTTGCAGTATCCCTTTGCCGTTTGGGGTGGCTTTCTCTTCCTCGCCTTCATCCCCTCGCCAGGCTGTAGAAGAACAAGGTGTTACAACAGTCCCTGATTGGCTTCCTCTTGTTCTCGATCGTCGCGCTCTACGAGGAAGACCATCTTTTATGGACGAAACGCAGAGCTCTCAGTCGGCGTCTTCACTGGGGATGACTTCGTCTGAGCAACTCGCTCCACCCGTTCGTGGGGAGAATTTGGGAGCATCGCCACTACAACCTACGCCCGCGACTCCTTCGTCGTCGAGTTCCTCACTTCCGTCGTGGCCGGCGCAAGGAATGACAGCCTCCTCTTCCTCCCCTTCGACTGAATGGAGCTGCTCGTCCTCTGCACCGCATGGTTCGTCCTCTTCCTGCCCGGCGACGAGTGTGAGTACGTGTTCGTACTTTGATATGCCCTATGACACCGGACTATCGCGGGGAGAATGTCTTCGTCTGGGAAATGTGAGGGACAGATGGCATAATGCAGATGGCTCCCTTCGCAACCGCTGCAAAGACAGACCGGCCTCTGCCCAGATGCCGGACGGCCCTGCCCTCGGACATCCCACAGCGACAATCCCGGAAGACAATGAGGTTGCCTTCTCTGTGAATGGGACGGGTCAACATAATGGGGAGCCAGTTGTGGAGGCCACCACGTTCTATGGGGTCAAGTTCAAAGTCCGGATGGGAGGAGAGGTCCCGGATGACTGCTCTACTACGGCGGGAGAAGGCCAAAGCACTGCAGACATGCCAGTGGACGACTCCGACCCGGCCTCCTCCTCTACTGAAGCTAACGACCAGACTGTTGGCTTTTGGCACCATGGCGTCTTCCATGCCCGTGCGCGGACTCCCTCGGAGGAACGCTTGCATCGTGGTGGCAATGGGCCGCGACGCACGCTGAGGAAGCAGGAAAGGATGAGCAAATACCTGCGGGGTGAATGGCGTCCTGCATGGCTTGAACAATATAGGCGGGACAAGCTCTCTAGGAGTTCCTCCTCTACCGTGCCTGCCAGTGCAAGCATGGTACCTTGGGAGGACTGGTCAGGTGCTGTGGCGGAAGCTGACATAGGTGCCTCGGTGTCTACCCCTGCGGAAGCCATGAGTGTTGGACAGCCGTCTTCCTCTACCCAGACGAAAGTGAATGTGGACAAGAATCCTCTTCGACGCCGGATTCCTGGAACAGCCCCTCTGGTGCAAACTGGTCCCAGTGGACAAACTGGTCTTCGTGGTCTGGTTGGTGGGAAGAACCGTCTGGGGAGACTTGGAGTTGGACGACCTCACCCGCCACCCCTTCGCACGACCCGTCCTCGCAAACACAGTCTGGAAGTACGCACTGGACCTGGAGTTGGGGCGATGATGCAGATGAAGAAGGAGATGGCGCATGGAATGGGTCCCGGACCTGGACATGGCGATCCTGGCCCTCTACCAGGAGAAGACACCCGGCGCGGAGCACCACGTCGACGAGTACCACCATAAGACGACAGGTTGACCTTGCCAGGCCCTCTTTCAGGCACTGCTCCATGGTGTTCACTACGGTGGCTACGGAGATGGCGGGAGAATTCCTCCTCGACAACGACGTCTACCACTGCCCCACATGAGGAAAGGGATGACGTTGGGTTCATGCAGCTCCGCAACTCTGAGCGAGCCAGGATGGAAGAGAATGGAGTCCCTCGGGATGTGATAAGACGTCTGGAGCAGTTTCTGGATGAGTTACAGCATCGTCAGGACTACCTGGGGGTTGGACCAGAAGCGAGATGGGCACTCGAACGTATGCTACAACGGGCAGAAGAAGCGGAAAGGGCCATTGAATGCATCTTGGATGTCCTGGCCCAGCGTCTTGAACCACAAGGATATCTTCCTATCCGTCGTGAACCCAGGACGGAGACGGCGACCTGGAACCAGTTTAACTGGGCTCGCAATCTGATGCCCATTCTGGTGGAGTGCGTTCAGACGCATCTTGCTACGCGACTGCAGGCCTGTGAGCTCACGGCGACGCCACCTACAGCTAGCCAATGGAGCCCGTGGAGTGTGCCTCCGTCGCACACAGACAGTGAACAACAGGCTGCCTCCAGCTCTTCAGGAAGCACGCATGGGCCCCTCAGCAGACGGCGACGTTCGGACACCAGTACCTCCCTCTTTGTTCCTAGTCCGCACAGCTCAGTTGTGGCAGACTCTGAAGGCAATGGGGTGAGCTCTGGACCTGAGGATGATGTTAGGCGAGGACCCCCGCCCCCTCTTCCTGTGTACTTGCCCCGCATTCCGGAAGGACTTGAAGGGATTTGGAGAGAGCCAGATGCGGGAAATGGCACTGCAGCATCAACTTCCTCGAGTACAAGGCGACTGGGCGAAGGCACTACGGAGACAGTTGAGGAAACTGAGCTGTCTGCTACTACCTCCTCCACCTCGGCTGCGCCTACTTCGTCTTTGCCTTTGTGGGGTGCCTCCTTGCCTTCTACCTCCTCCACCTCTGCCGCGCCCACCTCGTCTTTGCCTTTGTGGGGTGGCTCCTCGTCTTCTACCTCCTGGGCTGCTATCCCCTGGATGATGGCCACCTCTTTGACTTCAACAACATGGTTGGGGACAACAACATGGAATGCCACGACTACCTGCACTACTATGACATGGCTCGATTATGTGGGAGTGGTTGATGGGCCCGAGTGGGATGAATTATCGTTTTTGGCTTCATCTACTTCAACCACCTCCACCTCCACTACTTCCTCGTCCATGACGGGTGATGACGTTGTGCGGGACGCCATCAACTTGGAACTCCAGCATGCTGGCACAGCGGATGTGGCTGATGTGCTGAGGAGGCTGCTGGATCGGCAACGGCGATTGCAGCATTGTTTGCGTCTGGTAGGCTCCGCTCTGGAGGAATGTCTCTGTTGGGTGCCTCGGGGCCGCTTCGCTCGGCCCTTTAATGCTGCCACCATGGAGATGCGGCTCTGGGAGGTTATTGGTCGGGAGGCGGCGCAGGGCTCTGCTGGGGCAACCACAGGAAGCACTGGCCTGGCTTCCCCTCAAGCGGTCCTCCTCCTTCCTCGGTGACGTCTCTGCATGGGGCCTTTCCGGGTGTGGACGAACATGTGGTCGCCGGCTATCGACGCCGCGGGTGGCGTGTGCATGTGGAGCAGCTATACATGGCGGCTGGACGACGTTGCCCGCGGGGCTTCTGGCCGGCGGAAGACGACCGCGAGCTCTACTATGTGCAAGCTGATGAGGAGACGACGGTTGCCAATCTTCCACAACATGTACCACTGCCTGAAGACCCTCTTCTACATCGCCAAGTTCGCGGAGTTGCCGCACGACGTCGACTACACCGTGCCCGTCCTGTCCCTTCCTATGGTCCTGTGGCTGCACGTCGAGTACCGGTGGGGAGTCTTGAGGAGGATGCAGATTCTGGAGCGGACCTGGGTGCCGGTGTTGGACTGATGTCAGGTCTGATGGATGCCTCCTCTCCCTTGCCTTCAAACACGGCTGCATCTTCTTCGGAGCCCATACCTCGTGAGCGTAGCCGGAGCAGGGATCGTAGTGGTGATGCGCCTCGTGAACATGTTTTGCCTGCGGATGATGACCCCTACGGAGACTTGGACTCTTCGAGTACTGAGTAGCCGGGTGTTGATCCTGAGTGGCCCTGTTTGTGCATAGTGGAGCAGCCCAAAGGAGCAGCCCTGATGAGGTGTGTATGTGAGAGTGTGTGCAAAGGCTTTTGTGCAACGATGCCTCCTACTGGTGGCGGTGTTTTGAGTTTGGTGTTTATGGCACGGCGAGTGCCAGTCAACAGTGTCAGCTCCAATGGAGCCAGCCTGGACAGGAGAAAGAGGGGCTACTACACTTTAAAAAAACAAAAAAAAACCCACGCCCTCAAACCCTAAATCCTAAACCCCAAACCCCCTGAACCCTAAACCCTAAACCCTAAACCCTAAACCCTAAACCCTAAACCCTAAACCCAAACCTTTAATCCCTAAATCAGCCTTAAACGCGGCCTCTGTAGGTCGGCTGAGCTGCGGGAGCTGCTCTTGGTCCTGGGTCCCTGCTACGTGAAGTTGGGCCAGGCAGGGTTTAGGGTTTAGGGTTTAGGGTCTAGGGTTTAGGGTCTAGGGTTTTAAGGGCTCCTCTAAGAGATCACCAAAATCTATCAGGGACCTAACTGAAATTTAGAAAGGACCCATGAAATCTATAAGGGATCAGCAAAATCTACAAAGGATCTATGGGCCAGATGCGGATTGGGTTTGGGGCGTCGGGTTAGAGGCTTTAGGCTTAGTCTTTAAGTTTCTTTGGGTCTAGCGTTTAGGGTTTTGGTTTAAGGGGAGGTTTAGGGTTTTGGTTGCAGGATTCAGACTTTGGGTTCGGTAATTTTTGTATTTTAGGGTTTAGGGTTTAGGGTTTAGGGTTTAGGGTTTAGGGTTTAGGGGTTTAGGGTTTAGGGTTTAGGGTTTAGGGTTTAGGGTTTAGGGAGGGACTTTGAGATGACTACCATTGTCCCTTCTGGTCTCTTCTAGTCAGTGGGGCCCCAACCCGAGCCACGTCCACGGTTTAGGCATCACGGCTCAGGGCTATGCAGCCCAGAAGCCCGAAACCCTAAACTTTCCGGAGGCTGGGATCTGCCATGGTGTGTTAGGGCTTTAGGAAGGTTTACGGGGTTATTGCCCTTAGGGTTTAGGGTACAGGGTTCAGAGGTTTTGGGTTGCGGGGTTTAGGCTTTCTTGTGGGCTTTCGTTAGCAGGGCTGGGGGTTTGGATCCAATGGCTTGCTGTTGTAGATGTGGGTCATCACCGGCTTCACAGTTTCAGGTTTAGGGTTTGGGGCTTAGGGTTTAGGGCGTAGGGCTTTGGGTTTAGGGCTTAGGGTTTAGGGCGTAGGGCTTTGGGTTTAGGGTTTAGGGAGTTTGTGCTTGCTAGTGCAGATAATGAGTATTACCGGATTACCTTTCGTGTTATTGAAATTCCCAAGCCCCGACCCCTGAACCCTAAATCCCAAGCCCTAAACCCTGACGCCTAAAACGCTAAACCCCTAAACCCTAAAACCCTAAGCCCTAAAACCCTAAACCCTACACCCTAAAACTTGAAACACTAAACACTAGACCCTAAACTTATAAGCCCTAAACCCTAAACCTTGAAACCCTCAACCCCAGATGCGCTGACGCAGTGTCGTTGCATCGTCCTCAGGCCTTGGCCAATCGCCCGGACATCGTTAGAGATGACTACATGGCCGCGGCCTTGTCTGTGTTTCAGGGTTTAGGTTTAGGGCTTTAGGAACCATTGTTCTCTCAACCTTACATCCTAAACCCTATACCCTTAACCGTAAACCCGCAACTGTAAGTGCCCCAGCCCTAAACTCGCCGCCCTCAGCCCGACCCCAAACCCTAAACCTCAACCTTAACCCTCAACCCCTGACTACAAAGGCACCCTGACCACAAACCGTAATCCCTAACCCTAATTTCAACTGTTTAGGTGGTTTAGCGTACAGCCTTTCTTCCCCAAGCGACATGCATTGACTGCCCAAAGCCTTAAACCCTATCGCTCCTTCGGTAAGCCCCGATAGCCTGCAATGCCCGAAACTCGTCAGTTCTAAACGCGTTGTAGCACTCTGAAACACCGTAAACACCTTGTCAGCGCCTTTAAATCTTTTTTCATTCCTTCAAGCAACCCGGCCCTACAAAACCCTATGCACCGGTACAGGAACCCCCGAACGACCCCATGAAACGCATAAAAGAACACCACAACGTTCCCAAGCACCAAACTCAAAACGCTAAGCCCCAAACCCTCAAACCCCAAACCCTGCAAGCGATTTCGCGAGGCACATTATTGCGCTCTATTCGTGTGCCTCCTCAAGTTCAGGGCTTGTTCCGTGTTTTGGTAGGGGCGGGGGGTTGGGGGCGCTGATGACGTCGTTCCAGACCCTAAACCCTAAAGGGGGGGAACTCAGGGCTTGCTTCCGTTCATAAGCTGCCACCTTCACTCTAAGGGCTTTAGGAGGGACCCCTAATAGGGACCCTTAATCCCATTACCTGAAATAGCCATTGATAGTCCTTTTATACCCCTTATATAGTCAGGTAGTCTCCATATTAACCCCAATAACCTACAAGGGTCCCTATACAGGGTCCCTCCTAAAGCCTTTAGAGTCACCTTTTGGCGGATGCTGCCGTCTCTGCAGTTCGGTCTGGAGCCCTCTCCTTCTGCATGTGCACCATAGTCTTCGCAGCAGCGACAGGCAAGCTCTCAGACTGAATGCTGAACGGTTTAGGGTTTAGGGTTCAGGGTTCAGGGTTTCGGGGGTTTAGGGCTTAGGGGTTTCGGGGACGTTGCCTGACCCCTAACATCACCGAAGCAAACCTTGACAAAAAACACCCCAGTTAGTGAACCCTAAACCCTAAACCCTAAACCCGAAACCCCAAACCCCAAAATCGTCCTCGCCTCTCCGAGGAAGAGCTCGAGGCCCTGCAGGCCGATCCTGGGAAGGGTTCCTGTAAGGGGTTCCTAAACCCTAAACCCTAAACCCTAAACCCTAAACCCTAAACCCTAAACCCTAAACCCTAAACCCTTAAGGGTTTAGGGTTCGTTCCAGGATTCCTTTCAGGGTTTAGGGTTTAGGGTTCCTTTAAGGGTTTAAGGGTTTAGAGTTTAGGGTTTAGGGCCTAAAATGAACCCCAAATGCC